CTGAGCTTCGCGCCCCTGCCGCACCCAGGAAGCCAGGGAGCCCACACGGAAGGGCGCCCCCTTGTGCGGGGAGTCAGTGTCACAGGCACCGCCCGCCCCGGAGCCCCAGCCTCCCAAGAGGACAGAGAGACCAGCTCCTCTTGGAGCCGAGCAGAACTGGCCAGGACCCCAACCCGCCCATCCCGTTGCTCTCTTCCAGGACTCCGTGGACTTTTCCCGGAGCAACGTCCACCTGGTTGGGTACAGCCTGGGCGCCCACGTCTCAGGATTCGCCGGCAGCTACTTAGGCGGGAGGCAGAAGATCGGGAGGATCACAGGTAACCGTGCCGGCCGCTCAGGCCCAGGCCCTGCTGCCCGGTCCGAGGCCCTGCTCTCTGTGGCCTCTCCTAATGCCCCAGGCCCTTCCCCGATGCCTGGAGTTCCTGGGAGGCCCCGTAACCTCTCAAACGCAACCACCCAGAAGAGTCCTGACCAAGTCATGCCAAACAGCGTTGCTGCCCGTCCCGCTCCCCACATGATCACCCCTCCTGGCTGTGTGCACAGTAGACCCGCTGTGCAGTTTCACGGCGAGAAAGTCGTATTTCTAATCTGCACTTTGAAGGCCCAGTGCGGATGAACTCGGGAAAGGAGAATCCCAGGCTCCATAGTGCCTCGGTTTCCACCTTTAGGAAGTGCTCCGGATTTTCTGGCACCCACTCAAGTTAAACAGGAAGTTCCATAGCCTACACCCGCTCAGGAATAGCCCAGGTTCCCAGGAAGAGCTGCGTGTGTGCAAGGTCCAAACCCCAACCTCACCCCACACTGCCCGGAACTGGGACCCACTGACACCTGCAGATGAGAGACCGGGGGAGAAGCCAGGCCCTTCCCAGCCACCCCCCGCCCCGCCCCGCAGTGCTCTGATTTGTCCTCCTGCCGTTCCCTCCCTGCAGCTCTAGACTTCAAAAATTACACACTTTGTCCCACTTGACAAACACACCACGGCCTCCTGTATCTTGGGGCCTTTGTATGTGACATCCCCTGTGCCCACCACCCATCCACCCAGCCTTAGCCCACCTACAAAACTCCTATTCATCCCTTAATACCCAGCAGGCTAAACAAAGAACATTTAAGAAAAACAGAGCTGTACTGACTTTGCTGTCAAAGAACTTTTTTAAAAAAATTATACTAAATAATGGGGTTAAGTGAGAACATCTTTTAAAACTTCTATTGCCTTCTATTACTATCCTTCATTTTATGAGGATTTTTTTGGGGGGGTACTGGGGATCAAACTTGGGACCTTGAGCTTGCAAGGCAGGTGCAGCACCACTGAGCTAAATCCCTGGCCCCTCATCCTTCATTTTAAAAAAAGACAACATGAGATCAACATGTGATATGTACCATATTTCCCTAAAAATAAAAACAAGTCTTTTATATATAAATTTTTGCTGCAAAAGATGCATTGGGCTTATTTTCAGGGGATGTCGGTTTTTTTTTTTCATGTACAACAATCTACCTTTATGAATTTATCCATGTACAACAATCTACATTTGTTCATGTACAGAATCTACATTTATTCAAATACACTCCTGTCCTTTTCCTCTGGAGCATCATCATAACTCTCCAAACCCCTAATTCTGGCCCGAATCTCTTGCAACTCCGTTTCCTGTAGAACCACTGGCCCCAATCTCTCCAGCAGCAGAGCTCTCCAAAAATGAGCACTTCCTACCCATGGAACCTGCTCATAGGGCATCTTTACAACACACAAGGTGTCGAATCACAAAGATTCACACTGGACACAGCCACATCCGCCAGTTACCAAGTGCACATGTTATCCGTTTGCTCTGTACTTGGCAATAAGTTCACCTGCTTACACAGACGTGTGCCTCTCGTCCAAAGGTGCCTGCTTGGGTATTTACAGATATTCTACTTAGTTATAATTTATAGGATCACTTATGTTAGGTATTGTCAAAAATGTTCATTTATATTTAATAATACATTAATATTATTATCTTATAATTCAGCCCACCGGCCCTGTGCTGCAAGTGTTACTAAAGGTGCCCATCTGGCTGAGGTCCTTTGTTGGGCTTCTGTTGGGGGTAGGCCTTGCTACCAGCATCCTGAAAAATCCTACTAGGGCTTGCTTCTGATTAGATCTTATTTGGGGGGAAAGGCAGTACACGCACCGATTGATTCCCCATGATGAATGTAATTATTGTGTATCACAAACATTGCTAATAAAGAAGGACAGGATGGTGGCAGACATTGAAACCAAGCAAACACGTCACTTCCTTATCCTCTGTCGCTCTTCTGATGGGGAAGCAGAATGGCCTGGCCGTGGCTTCCACCCCCCAGGTGCCCACCGCCCGACCTGGCCAGCAACACAGTGGCTGCTTGTGACAAGCGCTTCGGGCAGCCCTGTCTGCTCACTGCATCTCCCCCCAGGACAGTGTCTGCCCTGGACACTCCAGCGAAATGACACGTGTGTTTAGAGGAAGTGATGGAAAGATGGCAGCAAATAAATTCTTTCTTTGATGGGCAGGTTAGAACGACAGAAAATGAGCACATTGGGTTTTTTCTATGCAAATGGACACTCCTGAAAGTAGTTTGAAAGGTACTTAAAATTGATTTGCTTAAATAAATTAAGCGTTCCCCCATAACCTTCTTTCTACCATTAGATCATCTCTATAACCTCTTCCCCCCACCCCAAAATGCCCGGCCTGAGTTTAATTTTCAGCACCATGAATTACTGCGGTTTTACTATAAAAAGGTTACAGCCAGGTTTTCCAGGGAGAGATTAGGCCCTGGGCTGCTCTTCCTCCTGCAAGCTCGTAAATGGGGAAAAATAATATGAAACCTCTAAGAGCTCGTTTCTCCCACCCTCACCTTGCTCCGTCCACCCTCACCCTGCCTTCCCACTAGGGCTGGACGCTGCCGGTCCTCTGTTCGAGGGGACATCCCCCAGCGAACGCCTCTCTCCGGACGATGCTGAGTTCGTGGACGCCATTCACACCTTCACCCGGCAGCACATAGGCCTGAGCGTGGGCATCAAACACCCCGTCGCACACTACGACTTCTACCCCAATGGGGGCGCCTTCCAGCCCGGCTGCCACCTCCTGGACTTCTACAAACACTTCACCCAGCATGGCTTACACGGTGAGGTGGAGGCGAAGGGCCAGAGCACCAGGGCCAGCGTGCCGGGTGCCCACTGAAGCTTTGGGACCCGGGCAAGGGTGGGCTTGGGTGCGGTCCCCAAGCAGGCTGCTCCTCAGGCCACCGTTCTTAGCCTGTCTGGTCCGGAATACCCCGAAGTCCTCTCCAAGGTGCCAGGCCTTCTGGAAGTAGCGTGTGGAGCTGGTGGTTGTCTCTTCTCCGGAAGTTTGCTGCTTAGGGGCACCTCTGTTCTGACTCACGCATAGATCTGCTTGGGAGGGGCCTGGCTTCTTCATCCTTGACTAACAAGGTGATTTTACTGCCCTGCCTTGTTGAATAATTCCACCTCTCCTAGTGCTGCGGGGCACCTTTGGAAATACCTGCTGTACCACACTGTCCCTGAGGGGTTCTCCAACCCCTCAGTGCCGGGCTTTCCCCTTAGCTAGATGGTCCTGCAGGAGAACATCTTTATTTTTCCATCAATGAGCCCAAGCAATGCAACCCACCCCCACCTGCCACCGCCGCCCCTCTGGGGGCTGAGAAACCAGACAACCCTCTGAGCTGAGGCCACCTAGGGTCAGGGTGACACCATCCTCCTGCCCTGTGTTCCAGCCATCCCCCAGACCATAAAGTGTGCCCACGAGAGGTCTGTGCACCTCTTCATTGACTCCCTCCTGCACGAGGACATGCAGAGCACCAGCTACCAGTGCGGCGACATGGCCAGTTTTAGCCGGGGCCTGTGCCTGAACTGCAAGAAGGGCCGCTGCAACTCACTGGGCTACCACGTGCACCAGGAGCCACAGGCCAAGAGCAAGAGCCTCTTCCTAGTGACCCGCGCCCAGGCCCCCTTCAGAGGTGAGTGCCAAGCAGCCCCTCCATACCCACTGGGTGTTTCAGCTCTGCAGGATCCGACAGCCATAATGCCGACCTTCTTGTCCCGAGAATGGGCCACTACGTTGCCAAGGGCCGGAAGGAGAAGCCCTAGTAATTTCCCGGACAGTTCTTGGTTTGCCTCTGTGCTGTGACCCCTAGAATATTGGATACAGAAGGTCCCCACGGACACCTGGACCACCCCACTGTCATCGTACAGCGACCTGGACAATCTCCAGATGCAGACTAGAACCCAGTTCTCCCACGTGAGTTCTGGGCCCCAAGAAAAACAGAACTCCTGTTCAGGTTTGCAGCTCTTCCCTTCCAACTCTGGGGTCTGAGTCCGCTGATCATGCAGGATATCGCCGTCACACAGAGGCCTGGGCCTCCAGCCTTTCCCAGCCAGATCCTTAAGCTCAGGCAGAAAGCGAGTCCCTGCGCATGCTGTGTTGAAAAGGCTGTAGCCACGTCCTGGGCAGAGGCTGGCAGGGAAGCATGCGCAGAAGCCAATTTTCCTGGAGGAGAGAGGCCATTCGCATATCTACCTAATCCTTTGAACAGCTCAGGGGTGATTCCAGATCTTAGACTCCCACCTTGGGCAGGGCCAGAGGACTCGGGCACCAATTGTTCTCAGACACCCGGTCTGGAGAGCAGACACAGGGCCATTGCCACCCTCTGCACTGGCTGGAGTTTTGTACACATTGTAGACAACTCTGACTCCTGGGCAGCCCCAGCAGCACAGTAAGGTGGGCAGCACTGGTCATTCCCTGGTTTTAAAGAGGAGGAAGCAGGACTCTGTTATGCACCCACAGCCTTCGAGGAGGCCTAAAGTAGGGCTGTCTCCAGTCTCAGGCACCTTTGTTTATCCCTGTCCCGAGATCTGACTCCCAGGATACCTGTGTTTATCTGAACTCTAGTGAGCAGCCGAGTGTCCCTGACGTGAGCCACACAGGCCCAAAGCAAGCAACAGAGGTGTGCAGGCAGCAGACAGGTGCCATGGCGTCTGGGAAGCAGCTGGAACAAGTTCATGTCTGTCCTCCCTGAGGGGCCGGCACCCCCTCCCTGTCTGTCCAGTGGGGCTGGAGGAGCAGCCACAGGAGCAGCAAGGAGACCGGGGAGGCCTCCAGCCTCAGGAGCTCCTGTACCACAGAGCTGCCAAGTAGCAGCTCCTCTGTTAACCAGCTCCTCCTCTGGAGGGATGAAGTTCACTGATGATCCCATTCACTGGGCCTCTCTCTGAAGTCGTGGAAGGTCAACACAGCATGGCATTGTCCGGCCCCACTGTACAGATGGGAAGACCCAGCGTTTAGACCCCGCGTTGGGGACCCTGCCATCCCCGAGGAGCTCTTGGTTCTGCTTCAGCCCCTCTAGTGAGCAAAGTCCTTATCTGCCCCACCTAACTTCCTTCTGCAGGGAGCAGTGTCCCTAAGGTCACCTCGAGCTGCCCTGGAGAGGGCTGGAAGTGCCACCATAAGATCTGCCCGGGTGCTGCCATCTGCAGAGTGCTCTGCTGTCTCCTGTGGCGCTGCCAGCCATGGGTGGCGGTTCAGATCTAAATTTAAATGCTATAAGTTAAAACCAAAAAATCCAGTTTCTTAGTCATGGGAGGCTTAGATGCATGGCTGCTGCCATCAGAGAGCAGAGCAATAAGCCACTTCCGTCCTAGGAGAGGGTTTACTGTTGGTGTGGGTGTGAAGCCTGTAATTCCGGCCCATAACTCCCCACCGCAGCAGCCACAGTCATCTGACTTTGGCTCCAAACCTCCCTCCGTGGCCGCCTCTGGAGTTTTGATGAATACGTGTAGATCCCCAAAAGAGCGAGCGCGCCCAACTCTTGCGTCCCCAGCAGCCACAGTGCACCTCCTCCTGCAGCTAATTGCACTGTACAGCTCAGAACAGGGTCGACCGGGCAAGGTAAACATCGCCTCCTGACTATAGTTTCACAATGGATGACTAATTTAGCCTGCGTTCCTCTGGCTTCCAAGATATTTTGAGGGAACTATCAAAGGATCTATTTTCTACAACCATATGCCAGAACCTGGGTAAACACTGCTATAGCAGTCGCTGAAGAGGATTGAGAAGCGGGCACCAAGGAAGGGAAAGGAGACAGTGGATGGCCCACTTCTGTCCTCTCCCCCTCAGAGCCTGTGTGAAGGGAGGGCAGAGAGGGAGATGAAGTCCTGCTTAGCAAACGCCTGGACTAAGCCACCCTCGGAGCAGTGGGACCAGGTAACGGGAGATGGAGGTGTCACTGATGGGGGCTCGGCGGAGCTGGGTGTGCGGCACCCTCTGCCTGGTTCTCATCGGATCCACACAGCCATTGAGGAGAGACAGAGACAGAGAGGGAGGTGCTAAATCTTCCCAGAAATCCGTGGACATTCAGAGAGGCTGAGTCTTCCTCCCAGGGTCACGGCTTTGTAAGCGGCCAGCGCAGGGCTTGGCGCAGGGCTTGGTCCCAGCCCGGCGGGATTCCACAGCCCTGCACCTTCGCCCCATGCAGCATAAGCGGGAGTGCACTCCTGCCACACTCACTCGCCTCACCATGCTCGCTCCCCCTGGGCTCCCCTCACCTGCACATCCTCTGGTTCCTGTCCCTTGTTGCAGCCACACCTGGGCTGGCTTCAGCTCCTCTCAGCTACTTCTTGAAAGTTTGCGCTGACTTTGTTCCAGAAGAACCAGCAAGAAAGCCCAGGCTTGGGAAGGGGATGTGGAGCTTCGGTAAGCTTGGCCTTGCTGCCAGCTGCTCCTGCGGCCTTGACCTGGTGACAAAACCGATATGGGCCTCAGCCAGGGAGAGACAGGTGGGGACGAACCACGGAACGTGGGACCTCCGGGTGAGTTTCTAAGCTCCCTCTCAATGCAGCCTGGAGGGGTTCACACTCACACTTACACAGCGACCCCCCGGGGACCTCCCAGATGGGGAAACTGAGCTCCAGAGGGGTTGTGAGCGCAGAAGGCAGAGGACGACATTCAGGCTCCACCTCTCCATCCAGAACACACTCTCCCCAGTGCCCAAGCTGCACCCACTGAAGGAAGAGCTGGTACCAGAGACTGGGCAGAGAGAGTCCTCCCTGCCATGCACATGATTTCTGTCTCCACCCCAGGGACAGCAAGGACCAGTCCAGGTGAAACGCGGACTCCAAGAAAACAGCACATTCGCCAGGGCAGCAGGAGTGGGGTGCTCCCTGCAGAGGCAGGTGGCAGTAAGGAAACCCACAGGACTCTGGCTGCACCCCAAATCTAACAGCTCGATGGAACAAGGAAGCGACCAGGTCAGGAGAACTAAGCCACAGAGAAGGCAGGAGGTGCTACTGCTAATCATGGGGTGCAGCTGCTGCTCAGCCCCCGATGCAGGATACGGCAGAGGAAAGACCCCTGCTTCTCTCCTGCACCCTGATCTCCAGCTAGGGCCTCTCCAGGGGCTATTCAGCAAGGAAGACCAGGGTTCAGAGCTGGGCAGAGAAGTGCAGAGAGGAGTTAGCACATAACCTGCGGGTCTGTGATGCAGCTCGAGTCCGTGCGACACTTTTCCCCTTTCATCCAGCGAGCCCTGCGCCCTTGCAAAGATGTGAGCTGCGGATGTGATCCAAGACCTCTGTCAGGGTGTCACTCGTGGACGTCACTGCCCGGGAGACCAGACAGAAGGTGACAGACGGGGTCCCACGAGAAACTCTGGGGTCATGGGGATGTCACTGGGACACGGCAAGGCCAAGGCACTGCGGCTTCTAGTCCTCCGTGTTTTCTTTCATTTGCTTTGAAAGCTTTTGCTTTTTCCATTCTAATCAAACCACACTTATTGTGGAAAACATGGATTGTGCAGAAAAGCATGAAGAAGAAAATAAAATCGTCTCTGCTCACCAGAGCTGAGCACCGTCGGTATTTCTGTGAATTCCCCACTTCTCCGCCTTCTGTTTTGTGGAGTTGGTCTCCTACTAGATCTGCAATCTCATATTCTGCTGGATTTTTTTTCTTTTTCACGTTGTTCACCAACATTCAAATAGCGCCAAAAGAACCTTTTCGTGGCTTCCTAAGGGTAAATCACTCGGCTGGGAATATGAACTCAGATTCGGCAGACTGGCCTGTGATTGAAACTGTTTCCGGTTAGCAGCCACGGGACAATGCCAGCAACCCGGCTGCCCCTCAGCTTTCTCTGTAAGACGATGTCAGAGGGAAGACACAGCACGCACCCTGGAGAGTTTGCAGAGTTGTTGCGAAGAAATGAGAGGAACCATGTAAAGCAGCTCTGGGTCTGTGACACAGCAGAGCATTAAATGGTAGTTGACAGAGACAGGAGCGCGATGGAGAGTATTCTCCCTCCCCCAGCCTTCGACTTACCGATGGGCACCCTGGCCAAATGCCTGGAATTCTCCAAAAATCCGCATGCAGCAGACATGTTATATTGCAGTTTCATCACTTTTTCTTTCTTCTGCAGTGCTAGGGATGAACCCAGGCCCTACAGATGCTAAGCAAGCACTCCATCTCTGAGCTACACCCCAGCCCCTATTATTGCTATTTTATGGACACAATGTAAGTTCCATGTAGATATTTAGGGTAGACAGAGAGGGAGAACAAAGATAAAAAGCATTCAGAATCCCACTGTGGATGTGCTGTCGCCGACCTTTTGGTACCTATCCATCCAAACTTTTCCCCTGCATTTGAAAATTTCTAGATACGTGAGATTTTAAAATTATGAAGTCCTGCTTAACCTCCCCACCTCTTTCTCCCCACCCCCAATAGTTTATCATTACCAGTTCAAGATCCAGTTCATAAACCAAATGGAGAAACCAATAAAGCCAACCTTTACCATGTCGCTGCTCGGAACCAAGGAGGAAATGCAGCAGGTCCCCGTCATGCTGTGAGTACAAGGCCCACCCACGTGTGGGTCACCAGACTCGTCTTCCCCATGGGGCAGACCCGAGTTACGCTTCCCCACGCATCATGGCTGCCCCAGACACCTGTCTGAGGGAGCATCCCCCAAGCCCGGTCCCTCACATCCCTGTGTGCCGGGCCTGCGTGTGTGACGGAGAGGGGCCATGCAGGAAGAACACTGGCAGATTGGCCAGGGGAGGGAGTGTCCACAGGAAGATGCCAATGCCTTTCCACTGTGCTCTGGACACCACAGCCAGACCTGAGCCTGTACCATTCAGCTTGGACATGTGTCCCCTTTCAGTAGCCCACAGTGCTGGCCCTCCCGCCTGTCCTCTCTGTCACACACTTGTGCACAATGCTGGCAGCCGCCTCACCCTGAGGCTCCCAGACTCTCCGGGAGGTGACGCAGCCCTTCGCCACTCTAGGAGACCCTGGGCTTCTCAAAGACTGCGCGTGGGTCTCTGGCCATCACCCATCTCTACACCCTAAATCCGTGTTCCCTCTGCACCGTCTCCCTGGAGGCTGTTCTCAGTGGCAGAGAGGGAGCACAGCCCCTCTCCAGTTTTGGGGTGTTTTACTGTCTTAGAGATTAGAGAGGAAAGCTGTTTGTTAATGAGGCATCGCTGTCTGCACTGAGATCCTGCTGTAAACAGACACATCCTTTTTCCGTGTGGTCTTTCTGTTACTGTTAGGCTTTGTTGCTGCAGTAGATATTGATATGGGGAGGCAGAACTGAGAAGAACTGGCCTCCATGTCAATGGCCCACAAACAGCAGAACTCTTCCAACGCCATCGTCCAAGCCCCTCTCTCTCCTCAGGGGCTTCTTCCCAACAGCCGGGAAGAAATAGCCCAAGATGAAGAACATTCACTAGATTCATGACCGACCCTTTTATATTTTTAATTTTTTCTTTCGATTTTTCATCTTTGTTCGTACATGTTTGCAGTACAGAAAGATTATGTATCCGAGACTTGTACAGCCTTCCCAGTCCTGTCCTTTCTCATCCGGCCACATAGACTGCCATCTCTGTGACTAGGCCACAGAGAAATATGCCATCCCGAGTGGCTGAGGCGGCCTAACACATCCTGCATCTGCCAGAGCATCACTTTGCCATTACAGTGAAACTAAATCAGCTGTCTGGTTTCCTTTGTGTCTTCCAGGAGCGAAAGGATCACTAGTAATAAAACGTACTCATTCCTTGTCACCCTGGAGCTGGATATCGGCGAGCCGGTCCTGCTCAAGCTCAAGTGGGAGCACAGTACAGTGTGGGCCAGCGTCTGGAACACAATGCAGGCCGTCATCCCATGGGGCGGAGGGTCGCGCTCCTCCAGCCTCAGGCTGAGGACCATCCGAGCCAAGGCCGGGGAGACGCAGCAAAGGTGACCAGCACCAGCCTGGGCTGGGCAGTGTGGCAACTCTGTGCCCTAACTCCCTGTGGGAAGGAGGCAGGGATGGGGTGCAGACAGTCAGAAAGGTGCAGTGGCCATCCCGGGGTCCCGGGTTCCCACAGCCCCAGATGGAGGATGACGATTTGCACCCATCTTCTACCTCCCACCGACTGGGGCTAAGAGCCACCTCCCTCAGCAGCCCCAGGGTCCTCAGACAGCTGATCTCCAGGTGCGGCTCTGTGGTGCGGCTAGAAGATGCAGCATCTTTCGTCTGTTGTCTACCAGAGAAACACTTAACAGACTCCCATCTCAATTCACCTCTCCCTGTGGTTGTACTCTTCCAATCTTAGATGTCAAAGCATCTCTGGAAGCTTAAGGGAGCAGGGTGCATTTTCAAATGAGAGCCCTGAGAAATTCCGACGTGGGCCCATTAAGAAGTGCAGCCCCTTGGAGTTTATTGATTCCCCTGACCCCTGAGTCCCTAGGGACAAGAAGGGTTCGGTGGGGAGTGGCAGGGGGTTCAGCTGCTTCTACAGTCATCACAGCAGCGAGCAGGGATGGCCAACACACTTTGCCATGGCAACCGTGCCTTTCTCTAGTTTTGTTCCGTCATCCACAGGACAATTCTGTACCTTCCTGGGCGGTTCCCTGCTGCCGCCCTTCTGTATTCTGGAAACTTCTGTCTTCTCGCCTTCCTTTGCTGGGAAGCTTATTTTTCTCTGGGTTGCCCTTAGCAGAGATGGAAAACAGCAGACTTCTCACCTCTGAACCCCACACCTCCCTCAGCCTCGAGTTACTCTGCCAGGAGCCAGCCTGTGGCTGATTTATGCCCCCTGAGTCCCTTCTACCACCGCACTCTGAGATTTTATCTCTCTGGGATGCAAAATCCTGGCAATTACTAAGAGCATACTCTGCAGTCTGCCAACAGATTTCTCCACATGATCAATCGGAGAAAATTAAACTGCTTCTCTCCTCTTAGACACTTAACTCTTCTCGTGTGACTTTTCGGCCCTTTAGAGCCACCCTGCTTCTGAGCAATGCCCTCCCTGCATGCTTTCAGGTGGAAAACAATTCTCCCGTTTACTGTGACAAGTCTGTGTGCTTTGCCTTGCAGAGTGGTGTAAAAGACCACACTGCTGCCCACATGAATGCACACCCCAGGGGAACTAAAACAGGAAAAGAGGGAGGGAAAGACGGCATTCAGAGGGCTCCTCCACACATGGGCATCGGACTCCCTGACATTAACCTCACACAACCTGCCCAGCGACCCTGGCTGTGCAGATTAGGAACCCAAGGTCCCCAGGAGTCACAGCTTGGTGACCTCGCTAATGACTGTCCAAGCCCAGATCTGCCACGGGGTCAGCTGATTTATTGCCCGTTTGTTCTCCAGGCACTATTTCCAGCAGTTCCTTCTCCCTTTAGTCCCAGCCCCATTAATCTGACTTTCCTCAGACAAATCTAGCAGAGCTGTAGCGCTGGACGCTAAAGCGTGTGCATCAAACGTTCCCCCAACTGCAGCAGGTCTGTGTGTAAGGGGAGACCCATATTCTTCACGTTGTAAATATTAAGTGCCTTCCTTGTGCCTACACAGCACCAACTGCCACTGAGGGGCACCAAAAAAAATTCTGAGTGGTGGCTCTCAGCGTGAAGAAATTCCAGGCTCCAGTTAGGAAAACAAGCTGAACTAATTTTACTGATGGCGAGCTCCCTGCCAGGTTCTCACACTTTCCTGTACGAGGGCATCAACTGGGGATCATGTCAAGGTGCACATCCACCTGGGTAGGCGAGGGACTCGTGGGCGGGGATCCTGCATCTGCAACAAGTGTCAGGGGAAGCAGGGACTGCAGGCGCATGGCTGCTCTCTGAGGAGCAGTGTGCAGTCGGCACTGTCTTGGCGGTCTAAAGAGGACAGCCCAGTCCGGCACTGCGAGGCTGTGGACAGGCTGCACGCGAGTGCGGCAGTGCAGCCGGCAGAACCAGCGAGTCCTGCACCGCCAGTCCTCAGTACTCATCCCTTTAGAGCTTTAATAATAAGTGGGAATTGTAACATGTTGCTCATGAAAACCTGCAACAATTCCCAATCGTTCAGTATCTTTTGCAAACCAGAATCCAGAGGCAGGATGCAAACACTAAACCCCATACTCAGAACTGCTCTGCAAGTGCAAAGAAAAAGGTAGGCGAAGTCATTTACTGTGTGCCTCAGTGGGAGGAATTCAATGGGACGTGACTGTCTTTCTCTCGAGGCGCAGTCTGGGAAGAGCAAGGCTATGCAGGGAGAGGAAAAGAAGGAGCAGAAAGTACTGGCCCTGTAGCAAGACCTATGTAATCGGCTACACACAATGAGGAGATGTGCGATTTTCATGGTGACCACATAAGTGCAAAGTCAGAATCAATGAGATGATCACTGGCTACCCATGATTTTGGCAGGAATTAAAACAGATAACACACAGGGTTGGTGAAGAGCAGAAAAATGGGCATTCTCAAAAATTACCAAAGGAGGGCCAGGGATTTAGCTCAGGGGTTCCACTGCCTGCCTTGTAAGGACCTGAGTTAAATCACTAGTGCCAAAAAAAAAAAAAAGGGGGAGAGTACATTGCAAAAGTTTTTCAGGGAAATCTCATTCACCTACTACTAGTAGCTACCGAGTACCTACTTATGCCAGCAAATACACTCAGCAGTGAACAGAAAAGACACCATCTTTGATCTCATGGAGCTTACATTATCAATATTTTAAATATGCATAATACTTGGGCCCAGAGTTTTACTTGTATATATCTTTAGTATTTCTGGAATGTATGTACCCATGCTAAAAATGTGCACAAAGGATGTATGTGTACAAAAAAATGTATGCTGCAATACTCTTTATAGATAGTTTCAATATTGCCTATCAATAGGAAAATACTACATGCCCTGTGGTACATCCATTCAAGGGAATATCGTGCAGCAGGTAAAAAAGAATAAAATGGATTTAAATCTACTTATATGACCAGTCTCTGAGGTGTCATTAGTTGGTGAAAAGGAAAAATTATAGAAAAATTCTAACAGTATAATCCCATTTTAAACCTATTTTTGGTGCTCGCTTCAGCAGCACATATACTAAAGCTATTTTTGTTTATGAATATTGATATATGTGTAAATGATAAAAATGGGCTGAGAAAGACATGAACCAAACCATGAAAGTAGGGAGGGGAGAGGTGTTAGGGATAATGGCAAAGGTGGTTTTTAATATCTGGCTCTATGTATTTCTCTCCCCTTTGAATTTTTCAAGAATACATTCCTAAATTATTCATATCACTTTTTAATTTAAAAAGTTTGATTTAGCAGAGATCTGGCTGTAGATGCAAACCAAAGGAAAAATAATTAGTAAAGTAGAATTATCTGTGCTACAGACTGACAGAGAAGTCTGGGTCCCTCAGCCGCACGGCATCTGCACCAGCAGAGGAAAGAGCAGGGCTCCCGGACTGAGACAGGCACAAGAGGACAGGGCCTCACACCAAGGACCTTTAGGAACTGGAGAAACTGGAGCTTGTCCAAAGGAGAGCTCGGAGCCAGTTCTGCCTTGTGGGGAAGGATCAGGGAACTGTGAGTGTCTGCCTGGGAAGCAGATGGTCACCCTTGCCCCTCGAATGGGTTTTCTAAGGGGGAAGAAGGGAACTGTGGGTCCAGGTGCTCAGCAGCTAAACAACACCCCTCACCAGGGAGCAGAGCCCCCAGGAGCCCCAGGCTGAGGCCTCCACTGACGTAGGTTTTGTTTCTGTCTAAAGTTATGAGAATATTTCCAAACATAAGAGTTTACTGCAAAAAAAAAAAAAAAAAAAAAAAAAAAAAAAAAAAAAAAAAAGAAAGAAAAAGAAAAGAAAAATCCAGGACCTGCATCATACAATTGAGTAGTATTTGATCAAGGATGAAACACTTCTGCCTCAAACTTAACGCGTGCTCGTTTTACATTTCCTCTTCAGGATGACGTTCTGCTTAGAAAACAAGGATGACCTGTTTCACCCGGCCCAGGAGAAAATCTTTGTGAGATGTGAAGTAAACTCTAAAGCACTGAAGAGAAAATTCAGATGAGCTGAATGAGAACCCGGTGTAAAGAATAAGTGAATTTTACTTCTTACAGGGGACAGCTACCCATTTGGAAACCAAAATTATGAAGAGAATCTTGCATAAAGTTTCAATAAAGTTTAAGAGGGATATATTTCACCAGTATAAACTGAGTTTTTAAAACTATATTATCGAGCCAGGGATTTAGCTCAGTGGTTCTGCCACCTACCTCGCAAGCACAAGGTCCTGAGTTCAATCCCTAGTACCAAAAAAGGAAAAAAAATTATACAATGATTTTCAAGTATGAGTACAACTAAAAAGTCCCAATCTTATCTCTGATTGAGTGTTGATTTATGTAAATAAGTACAAATGTAAAAGTCATTTTAGACCTGTTATTCTAATTTACAATGCCTTTTATAATTAAATCAAATTTCCCATATGCCCTGGTTAGTTTATTCAGATCTATTTTTTGAATTATGCTGGGAAAAGATTTCTTTATTACATAACTTACACTTCAATAAAGCAAAACTGTAATTAATCGCTAGTTATGTGTACCAAAGCACACACCCTCTGAAAAGACAATACAGCTCACTAAAAGAAAAATAACTCTAATTAAACTAATAGACATTTCACACAAATCACACAATTATTTCACTGAAACTGAACCAAACACACAGAAGTAGAAGTCTATTAAACCAACTAGCTCCAGCCGTGAAAACTGAGCAGTTGGTCATTTCAATTAGTAGGTTCCTAATTAAATAAATACAGGTCTCTTCTTTCACTAATCCCTGCACCGAAAGCCAATCGAAAACGACATTTCAAAGAGTCGCCACGAAGTGAATGTGTGTGTGTCCCACCCCATTCCTCCGTGGAAGCCTAAATCCTCAGGGTGATGGTACCTTTGGGTCATGCCGGGTCACAAGGACGGTGCCCACACGTGGACATCAGTGCCCTGTAGCGGGTGAAGACACCCAAGCGCTCTGCTCTGCACCCCAGGCCTCACTCCCTCCGTCCAGCATCCCAGTGCTCTCCTCCGAGGCGCCCACCTGCAGTCTCGCTGCCTGCACACACTGTGAAAGTGCTGGTGTCCCCACATCAGGGGTGGTGACACAGGAAGCCAGAAACCAAGCTGCCTGGGCCCAGGCTGTGCCCCCACTGAGGCTAGGTGAGAAGAAAGTGAGCTGGGTGTGAAGTAAACCAGAGGAAGGCACAGAAAGAGGGGCCCCAAAGCCACCAGCTACAGTTCCTGCCAACCTTTCTCATGCTAGGGATTTCCATGCCAAGCCCGGTCCTCCCTCCTCTTCCCCTCTCCTGCACAATTCCCCCAACCAAACCGTAGTGATCTATTTAAGCCAGTTACCTTATTGCCCAGCCTGGCCCCACCTGGACCTGGGCTGGAACCTAAGTCATGCTCTCTTCTACCCATGACCATTAGTGACCAGTACAGTGATGAAGGCCCCTTGCCCTCTTCTGCCCCTTTCAAGATGGGTGAAATGCAGGGCCCAGGCCCCTCCCTGCCCACCCTGTCTCCTCTCCTTCCACTGTGCTGCCCACTCCTGTGGCTTCACATACAAACCCTCAGGGCCCAGTCACACACACACACACACACACACACACACACACACACACACACCCTGCTGCGGTCCAGCCACCTATGATGTCTCCAGCCCCAACCCGGCTCTTCCCCACACTCCTCGTCCACACAAGCTGCTGAGGCCAACACTGGGGTCATCGGTCATGTCTCTGCCCCTTCGACCCTGACACTCAGTTACCAAACCTTTCCATGTTTTCTCCTATTTCCCCTTTGAAGCCATCATCCCAGTTGCCAATTTTTTGTCTTTTTTGTTTTTTGTTTTTGTACCGGGGATGAACACGGGACCTTGCGCTTGCGAGGCAGGCGGCAAAACCCCTGAGCTAAATCCCCTGCTCTCTTAAGTCAATGCTGATATCAACTTCCCAGCTCCACCCATGGAGCCCACCCTCTGGCGCAGCAGCCAAGGTGATGGGGAAAAAAAAGGGGGCTAACTCATGCAACTGTGCTGTTTAAACTCTATCTTTACACAAAGTGTTGCTATTTTATTTCTCATGGATTTTGCAATGATTTTGTTTTTGAAAACACTGCGTTAAAATGTTATCATTATAATGGAATGTTTGGAGCCCTCTCCCTTACATTATATGCACAAGGAAGTGGCTAGCTCGCTTTCCCCTTGTCCTAGCCCAGGTCTGTGACACACACACACACCCGCTCACGAAACACCTAGCTCCCTGCCCGCCCTTGAAGGTTGGTGTTGTCACCACGCTCAGTCCTCGGGGCGCGACCCATCACCTGGTGCAGAGCTGGCGTCCCGCGAATGCGTGTCCCTGGAGTAATAAGTCTGGCTATGCTTTGCCTCTCAGTGAAGTCATAACCCCGCCTGCTGTATCAGCCCAGAGTCAGGCTTCCGAGTCCCCTCTCAGCCTGGCTCAGCCTCCTTCTGAGTCGGTTCATCAAAACCCCTCGGTGTTCCTTGTTTCGGCTTTTTTCTTCTCAAGTAGTCCCGTGGGGTTTCCAGACGCGTGGTGCTGTCTCCCGCCGAATGAGTTCCAATCTGTAGAAGCGAAGGGGCTGCTCTCAAGCCACACACAGATCTGGGGTAACGCCCTCCTGGCCCTCGGTTCCCCAGAACAAGCCGAGTCCCCACAGCCTCCCGAGGATCTGCACCGCTCATGAAATGCAGCTTCTCATTCAGGGCGCCCAAGGCCGACTCCAGAAGTTTTCACTTTTGAAGACGACCTGGGTAATTCTTCTCAGCTGACCCAGCAACAACCTTCCTCTCAAGCTCTCAGGCAGAGCTGGCCAGGCAAGGGAGGCCCCTCACTGCCCGCACCCCTCCTTGCCCCCTACAAGCCTTAGGGGGCAAATCCGAGCTCCTCCAGGGCAGAAGCTGCCTGTGTGCTCCTGGGATTTGTGCGGTTGTTTGATATTTCTCTCTAAAGATGTTTTGCACAAGCATGAAAACAGCCTGCAGGAAAATGTGAAGACCTACAAAGAGCAACCCGCTCGTCTCTGAGCAGCCACTCGCCCTCCCCCCACCCCAAGGGTCTCTCAGGGGACAAGAACAGCATGCGGGGTCCCCCTTCGAACATCTGCAAACATCTGTCCACACAAGGGATTCGCTTCCCTCCAGAGTCAACACATAGGACAGAGGTGACTCTGCAGTGCCAGTCTGACAAGTCAGGACCATTTCCTTATGCGCGTGAACAGAATCACCCCTCTCCTAATTGCCTAATAACATAGCTGTTATCACACACACTAACACGTGTTCCCAGCCTCGCAGAGGCACCGCAGTTCTACAAACTCGTGATTATATACCACGGTGGGACACTCTTCATGACAGGGACGGGCTGTAAGAAACACATCCTTAGCCCAAGTGGTTGTGGGCACACATCACAGAGGCCACAGGTCTGCAATCCCACTAGCAATGTGTGAGTACCTATTCCCCACTCCCTTCCTCCTTCCAAGGCCAGAATACTGTTCATTTTAGTTTTCACTAGTCTGATGGGTATGAAGACCTCCTTGCTGCCTTACATTTCCCTGATTACTATTGAATTTGAGGAATTTTCTAGGTATTTATTGGATTTGCTTCACTGTGAATCCATTTAATGTGAATCCATACTGTGATCTAATTTTCTTTAGAATACTTGACTTTTTTGTGGTTGTACTGGGGATTGAACTTAGGGTCTCTGCGCTAAGTTGCATTCCCAGTCCCTTTTAACTTTTTATTTTGAGATAGACAAGGTCTCACTAAGTCACTAAGTTCCCCGGGGCTGGGCTTGTGATCATCCTGCCTCAGCCTGCCCGAGTACTGGAATTACAAGCATGTATCACCAGGCCTGGCTGGAATACTTGTCTTTTACTTGTTTGTAAGAACTAGACAGTTTATATTAACCTTTTGTCTTTCAACTTCGCAAAGATTTTTCCAAATCTATTCCTCTATTGATTGTAATCATAGTGTTCTTTGCTGCACAAGAGTTAGAATTTTCTGAGGTCAAAATTCTAACATTTCTATTATATAGATTTCCTGACTTGGCCCAAGCGGCCAGGTCAGTCAGTCGTGGGCAATTGCAAATTGTCACTATTGAATTGCAAATTATACAAACCTTAACTCTTGCCAGGCATGGTGGCACCACAGCTGTGATCCCAGCTACTGGGGAAGATGAGGCAGAACTGTGGAGTTGGAGGGCCAGAAATTTAGCTCAGTGGTTCTGCTGCCTGCCTTGCAAGACAAGGACCCGAGTTCAATTCCCGGTACCAAAAAACAAAAACAAACCAACAAACAAAAAAAGAAATGTGAGTTGGAACCCAGCGTGGCTGACTTAAAGAGATCCCATTTCAAAATAAACAATAAAAAGGCCTGAGGATGTAGCTCTGTAGTAGGGCCTGTGCCTGTTATGTACAAGGCCCTGTATGCAATCTCCACTACTGCAGAAACAAAAAAGAAAGTTGTAATGATGTCTTTTATATTTTTTGTTTTGTTTAGAGGGATTTTTTGTTCTTAGTGGTCAAGTAAACTTTAAGTGGTTTTCTATTTTCATCTGAAATGGCTGCTGAAATTTAGAAAGTGCCTTAGTAACCTACGGTTTTCCCTCTGTAATTTAGTCATAATACAAATTATATTGGTAGATTTTCTTGATCATGACCTACCCTTGCATTCTTTATGTAATACTTGCACTCTTGAAATAAAATTTTCCTCGGCAACATTTTTTATTGCATTGCTGGATTTCACTTTTTTAAACATTTGCCTTTATTTTCATTAGTGAAATGGTTTCCCATTTTGGTGGAGGCTATCCTCATCATACTTTGATATTTTACAGCTTTTATCTATGGCCTTGAATAGTTTAGATAATATTGTGATGATTTTTAAATGTTATTTAATTAGAGAAAAATTCAGCTGTGAAACCATCTGGCCTTGGTGCTTTTGCATGTAATATTCTTAGAATTTCAGCTTGTACTGTACTTGTTGCTACATACAACATTTATTAAAATTTTTCTGTATAGTATCTTCAAGCA